GCCAATGAGCTGAAGTCCCTCACACACTTCAGTTCCAGTCTCCTTTCCCACATGGGCCAGCCGGGCACTTCCTGGGAAGCCAGGGGCAGCAACAACCTTTTTTGCTCAAGCGGGCCTCGGGCCTCGGGCCAAAAGACAGCTTCCATCTTTCCATGCACCCAGTTCCTTTTGAAAGCCAAATCTTGGGATAGCAATGCCGTGAATCAACAACCTGCAGCCCATGGCTGTGATAGGCACACAACTGTTGGGAAAATTCAGATGAATCCTGGCAGAAAAGGGTTGCTTGTGCATCTTTGTGTTAAACAATGCCTGCACCCCTTTCTCAGGAAGCACCCAAAAAGAGATTCCAAGCAGGATTACTGTTTGGCATTTGCTGTTACTTTAAGAAGTGGGACCTGATGGCTTCCGGAAGAAGCTACCAGGGCTATTTTTGCTGATCAGTAAGAACCGATGATGCCCCAGGTTAACAGCATCGCAGTCACCCTCATCCGCATGCCAAGGCCCAGCACAGCCCCTGTGCCTCAGTGGTCGGTGTGTTAACATCCTGCAATCAAATGCCATTCTGTTGAGCCCTCCTGCAGCCCTCTCCCCTTCTTCTGAATCTGTTCGCCTTATTTCGGCATCAGCTGCCCAGCTGCTGGGCCCATGTGACTCAGAATCTATAAAACACTCTGTGTATGTTCTGGAAGCTTGTAGTTGGCGGTGGCGACCACTATACGGTAGCATCAGCCGTAAGTCACTGCAGGGGGCCTGGGTGATCTCACCAACGGAAATGCCGGGGTTCAAGGGCATTCAATTTTCCCTGCAACTCCTGGCAATTCATTCTAGCCATTAGTAGTAGAAGCTCCTGACGTAAACCAAGCCATAGGGTCCCTGCTCTCCATGACACTGTTTGTTTATTGATTACATTTTTCTTTAAAAAGACACCAAATGATCCAAAAAGGCTCTTTGGGTGATGTACAAGCTACCTGCCTCCCTTGCTAACATCTGGGCCCAATCTGCACAACTGCCCAGAAAAATCTCCTAATCTGGACCGCTGCTTGGCTGCTCGGAAGGGGCATCCCAGAAAGAGCTGTTGGCCCCGAAAAGTACCTACTGCCCCTGGCACTGCCCTGGATTGCAAGAGCAGGACCACTGGATGCCTCGGAGCAGCGAGCTGGATGGGGTCGTGCCATGCAGGGCTTGGCTCTGTGGCAACCGAGTGAGAGAAGCCCAGCACAGCCTCCTTCATGCTGGGAGGAGGTTGGCCAGGGCCCCGGGCAAAGCAGCGTACTGGGGGCCCCTATGACCACAACTGCTGTTAATTTTGCAAGTTTTCCCATTTCCCAAGGGTTAACATACAGATTAGTATGGGGCCCATGGGCAAGTGCCCACCAGGCCCATGCGTTAGACGGCACTGAGCTTGGCCCTTCCCATTGCTCAACCCAGAGGCTCCGGGGGAAGCCAAAGATGCCCGTCTGGCTCAAGGGCCTGTTCAAAGCTCTTGATGTGTGACGTCGGGAGCAGAAGGGAGAGGGGTGCAATTCAGAAGTAAACCCGGGCTGCTCCCTGCACGCACCAGCTTCAAGGTGGGAATGCCAGCAGAGGAGGAAGGACTGGAAGCGTTATCTGAGCACGCAGGCATCCACAGCCTGGACACTCAAGGTTATCGACGGCACCCAAATCAAATGGATCTTCTTCAGGCTGTGAGTTTGGACAGATGGGCTGCTGGGGTGGGGGGGGGGGGAACGCTTGGCATGGTGGTCTTACCAGCAGGGCTCTGTCAGCCCCGGTTTCTTTGCTCTTTCTGCCATGTTCTCACCTCCTTGTGCTGTGGTCTCTCTCTCAGTCCCCCCTTCTCCCCCTTTCAACCCTTCCCCACCACTCCAATCTACTCGGCTGCCCGGAGGGACAAATCGAGCAAGCCACAGGTTGGCTCACTTGGAGAATGCTTTTCCTGCTTCGTCAACGGTCCTTTTGGCCTTTTCCCCTCCTCAAAGACCACCAGCACTCCTTGCCAGAGGCATGGACTTGCGTCCCCAGGTCCCCTAAGCCAGCAGCTTTCATAAAGTTCTACACACAGGTTTGGTTTTGCATGAATGTTCTGCTAGAGGTGGGCATGGAAAGCCGTGGGAAAGAAAGCTGGAGAAACTGCACTTCTCTCCATTAGAGGGCCACCAAGACACAAGAGGATTGCTAGGTCAAGCCAGGAAGAAGAGTTAAAAGCACACAGCCCAGAATAAAAGGGACCAATCAGACCTTTGCATTGACCGGGGTGCCTCTGCTCAGGCAAAGGGCTTGTGGGAGAAAGAACAGGCCTCGAGACTGGTTTAGGGAAGCATAGCTCACAGAGCACCTGCTAGGTGGACAGAAGGTCCCGAGTTCAAATTCCCGATGCCTCCAATTAAAACCAGGGAGCAGGTGGTGGAAAAGCTCTTTCTCTGCCCAAGAACTTGCCATCAGGAGCAGATGGGCCTTCCCCAGGCTGGTCCCCTCCAGATGTTTGGAGTAAACCCCCCACCCCCAGCCAGCTAGGAGAAAGCTAATGGGAGCTGTAGTCCAACCACATCTGGAGGGGTGGTGGTGAAGGCTGGAGCGGACCATCCTGGCTCATGCGGATGAACAGCCTGGCTTGGTCAGTTGGCTTTTGACATTCCCTGCTTGATGAGGACCAGACCTGACACAGCCAGGCCGAGAGGCTTTATGGGAACAAAAAGCCGGAGTGACATGAGGGTGCCGCAGGGTCCAATGGGGCTGCAGCGGGAGCAGGGTGGGTTTCCAGATGGGTTTGGGCCATGTGTTGCACCCGTGTTAGAAGCGTGCGTGCATGCGTGTGGGACCAGAAAATAGCAAAATAGGCCACACTTGAAGCAAGGCAGCTGGTGAGGGTTGAGCTGGCTATGGGAGGGGGGATCCTTTTTCCTGCCCCACCGCCTGCCAGAGGCATGGAAGAGGCAAGCAAGGACAGTGCGGCCAGGTCCAGAGGGGCCTTGAAATCAACCCTCATCTTGAGCAGAGATTTCAAGATGAAGCAGGGCACATGACGGGGAGGGCTGGAGTTCCCCCCACATGGGGGAGGGTGGATTTCTTCCCACAGCGCTGCAAGCTAGGTATCTCTGCCCAGGGTAGACTTGTGTAGGGGAACACTGGATCCTCTCCTAGCCTGACTGCCTGCAGACCAACTGCAACACCCATCATTCCCAGCCGGCAGGGTGACTTGGGAAGGGCTGCTGCAAAGCCAGAGGGTCAGATTTAGGCCCTCAGAACTGACCCTGGGCAGCTCTTGTAAGCCCAAACCTCAAAGAGTTACAGCCTGCCTGTCTGCAGGCTCCAAAAAGGCCCCAGCATATCATCTGATTCTGCAGCACATTTTCCAGCAAGTGACCTGCTTGGCCAGACGTCCCTGAGAAATTCACAGATAACATGCAGGATTGGATGTCCCTGAGAAATTCACGAAGATAACGATAGGGGAGGCAATGCTTTGCAAGCGTGCCAAGAAGTGCCTGGCTCCAGGTGAGGAAAATCAGGGGAGGCAACGTTCACCTTCCTCTGACGCACACTCCCTTTTCCTGCCCCAATTGCTGTTCTGCAGTTTTCTTCCCCATTCTGTGGTGGTTGGGGGGGGGGGGAGTCTCTGTGAAGGCTGTGTTTACTAGCAGGGAGAGTTGGAAGCCTAAAAGATGCCGGCACTTTTGCCCCTGCCCCTGCGCCCAGCGCAGGTCTCCTTGCTAGTGTAGCCCATCAAATGCCTCCAAGGGGTATGGAAACACCAGCCATGGCCACTGCAAGATGGTTGTTAGTTGCACAGTTGTGTCTGACCCACTGCAACCCATGGGCAACATTCCTCCAGGCTCTCCTGTTCTGCACCATCCCCTAATCTCACGCCGACTGCCTCAGTGACCCCATCCAGCCACCTCATCCTCTGCCACCCCCTTCTCCTTTGCCCTTCCATCACCCCCAGCATCAGGCTCTTCTCCAGGGAGTCCTTGCTTCTCATTAGGTGGCCAAAGTATTTGAGTTTCATCTTCAGGATCTGGCCTTCTAAAGAGCAGTCAGGGTTGATCTCCTCTAGCACTGACCGGTTTGATCTCCTTGCAGTCCAAGGGATTCGCAGGCGTCTCCTCCAGCACCATAATTCAAGGGCCTCAATCCTTTGATGCTCAGCCTTCCTTATGGTCCAACTCTCACAGCCATACATTGCAACTGGGAAAACCATAGCCTTGACTGTAAGCACTTTTGTTGGCAGGGTAATTTCTCTTTTTCGTATGCTGTCTAGATTTGCCAATGCTTTCCTCCCCAGGAGCAACCATCTTTTAATTTCTTGGCTGCAGTCCCCGTCTGCGGTGATCTTGGAGCCCAGGAAAATAAAATCTGTCACTCCCTCCATTTCTTCCCCATCTATTTGCCAGGAAGTGAGAGGACCAGATGCCATGATCTTAGTTTCAGGCCAACTTTTGCACTCTCCTCCTTCACCTGCATCAAGAGGCTCTTTAGTTCCTCTTCACTTTCTGCCATGAGTGGGCTCACAGAGAGTCTATTATTCAGAGGCAGACTACTCCTGACTGTGGAGGTTCCAAAATTAAAGGAAGCCTTGGCGGGTCAGCACCATGTTTCACCTAATGTGGAGGGCCTTCTCTGCGGTGGCGTCCAATCTATGGAATGCGCTCCCCAGAGAGGTCCGCCTGGCGCCGCCGTCATTTGTTTTTCGGCGCCAGGCGAAGACCTTTTTATTCAAATGTCATTTTAACTGTTAATACTATTTATTTTATTCTTCGGCCAGCGCGACTTATTTTATATTGTTAACTTGTTTTATATTTTATTGTATTATATTTTAATTGATATCTTTGTGAGCTGCCCCGAGGCTTCGGCGAATGGGGCGGCATAGAAATTTTCTAAATAAATAAATAAATAAATAAATGTGTGGCACCCTGTTTTCAACACTGTCCCAGCCAAGAAATCCACACACCGTAAGGGCGCCTGTCATCTGCTACTTTTAAACCGAGGAACATATGACGCATGAGCCAGGAAGCCATTTTTGTTTTTCTAAACAAATACACAGTACCAAAAAGAATCAGACGAAAGTCGTCAAAAGAAACTGCATGAAAGACAGAAATTTGTTCACTGCAAAAGCAGCACGGCTTAAGCCAGGGGTCCTCGAACTTTTTTTAACAGGAGGCAGTGGAAGGTGCTGGCGATGGGCGTGGGCCAAGGCGGTGTGGGCAGGGGGCACGGGCCGGGGTGGGTCGTCCGCGCGTGCACACACAGTGAGGCACCGGCTTGCTCACAAGGAGATCCTTTTATCCCAGCGAGTCCAAAATGATCTCCTTGCCGCTGGATACATGCACTGCGAAGCGGAGGCTTGCTCGCAAGATCCTTCTCTTCGAGCGAGTCTCCGCACGAGCAAGCTCCTGCCTTGCCGCGCATGGGCAACATGTCCAAAACCTCCCTGGCGGGCCGGATCCAGCCCGCGGGCCATTGCTTAAGCACCCATGGCTTAAGCAATGAGATCTGTAACCACATGGCAACCCAACTGGCAGCCCTGCTTTGGGTTACTGGAACGTACAAGGTCTGCTCGGATGCGTTGGTGATTAACCAGGCAGTGGCCACCTGCATGGAGGCGACACCAAGGGGGCTGTTTCTCACTCTGATTGCATGATACATGCCCAATCGCTCTCCCGCAGGCAGAAGCCTAGCACCTCAGGATGAGCTGCTTAACCAGGTGCCCTCCCTGAGATGCTGGTTTGCCATGAGCAGGGAGGTCTTCTTCCGTTTTTCCTTTTCGGGTGAAGAAAGATGTACAGTGTGACGTCCTCGCTCCCTCACCTGCAGCTGAAGAGGACTGCCCCAAATTCTGCGTAACACGGAGCATGACTCTGCAGAGGATTCTTCCCTCACCCAGACAAGGAGGGGGGATGTAGAAGCCCCTCCTTGCCATGCTGGGAAACAGGGCAGGCAGACTCCCCGATGCTGACAACCGTAAGAGGAAGATCTGGCGTCTGGGACCCTGTAATGCGTCTGAGCCCAGAGTTACCCTCCACCCCACAGAGGGATTCTGGAAGCAGCAACCCGGTGCTTGCCCTCTTCCATGGCAAGTGAGGCCTGTTGGTTTGTCTGAGCAGCAACAGAACAAGTGGGGAGGGCATGAGAGAAGGAGGGGGGGGTCATCTTTCTCTCCCCTTCTCGCTCTGTCACCACAGCATAGTCAGCTTTCGATCCAGAGAGCTGCCGCCGCGAACATATGCGAAAGGGCACCTCTGTGGCCAACCACAGCTTTGTCCAAAAAGAGTTCGGAACGGCACGTCCGCAGCAGGTGAGCGTGCCACCTCTGGCCCAGCGGAAGGGGCTGGGCCATGCAGGCGTCGGAAAGTGTCCTACTTTCCGGGCTTGGTGATGATGCGGTTAGAGAAGTCAAAGAGGCTTTTGTTGATCTTCCGCAGGGTGCTGACCTCCTCCTCCAGTTCAGCCACCTGGATTTTCAGCTGCTCCTGATCACCCATCATGTTCTGTGGAAGGAAGTGTCAACAAGACGCGGGATCCAGAGGGGCAGCAGCAGCAGCAGCATCGGGAGAAAGGGGGCTGGCAGTGGGCCACCCCCACTAACACCCACCAGGGGAGAGCCTGTGCTTTTGTTTTAACTACCCTAAAAGGGCACTCACTTGACTACGCTTAAGGGCCGAGGAGCGAGTTCACACCTGCCTTTCCAAGCTTGCTGCCCTGCAGCTGTCTTAGGAATACAAGTCCCATCACCCCCAGCCACCATGGTCAGGTTGGAGAAGAACAGTTTGCTCTAACCCTCTCCTGCCAGCAGAGGAACAAGTCCTCCTTCTCCCAAAGGTCACACCGAATCCCAGTGAGAGCGATACGGCAGTGGGGCCAGCTGCCTGGAGAGGTGGGGGGCTCTCCCACACTGGGGACATTAAGGAGAAACTGGGCAGCCACCTGAGTGGGATGGTGTGACTTGGTGTCCTGCAACAGCAGGGGTTGGACTTGATGGCCTTCCTGGCCCCTTCCAACTCCACTATTCTGTGATTCTAAGAAAGCCCCATGAGGAGAGACTGAGAGAACTTGGCACTTGCCCTTCCTGTTCAGCCTTGAGAAGAGAAGACCGACAGGGGTCATGACATCCCTCTAGAAGTCCTTCAAAGGCTATCACAGAGAGGAAGGTCAAGGTTTCTTCTAACTGATAACAGAATGTATGACGTGGAATAACCAAGTCCAGCTGCCGCAAGCCAGACTCAGGCCGGACATCAGGAAAAGCTTCCTCATGGTCAGAGCGACAGGACAGTGGAAGCAGCTGCCTGGAGAGGTGGGGGCCCTCCCACACTGGAGGCATCCAGAAAGAAACTGGGCAGCCCCCTGAGTGGGAGGGTGTGCCCTGGTGTCCTGCAACAGTGGGGAGTTGGACTTCATGGCCCCTTCCAACCCTACTATTCTAGGATTCTATGATAAAGCAAAATTCAGCCCTTCCACCAGCCGGCTCACTTGCCTGTGTATAGGTCCTTCTTGCCCAAGCCAGCCAGGCAAGTAGCTGGCCCTGTGGGAACAGAAGGGGCTACCAGCGTCCGTATGAGGTTGCCCATGTTCGTGATCATCTGGCGGTCTCACTCGCCAGCCTGCCCCTCATGTCCTCTCCCAGGACAGGCAGGAAATGCCCCTTTCAGATGACTCCGTTTAATCAGAGACTTCTGTTTTGGCCTACATTGCTTAGAAGTGTGTTTCGGTATTGCTCACTTGTTTCCTCCGGTTACTTCAGAGACCCACAAGGGTCCAAAAAGCCAGGCAGGATTGCAATATCAAAGCTCCACTCTGCTGGATAGGAAGCGGCCTGCAGAAATGCCTGGTCCTTGGTTCAAAGAAAAGGGCAACGAGCAGCGACAGGAAAAGTGAAACCCCGCAGGCGTGTGGAAAGAACTCTCCCCACTTGTAGTGCCCTCCACGAGGGACAAGGTGCCTCACCTTCTCTTTTGTAGAACACATCTGTGCATACATGCGTTCTGCCTTCTCCAGGTAGCTTTCGCCAGACCCCTGTGGAAGATCGAACAAAGCAACGGTCAAGAGCGAGGCCGAGCGGATCCGGCTGCAGCGGGCCCGAGGCAAGCCGTGAGACTCTCGCCTCTGCTGAGCAGTCGAGTTCTTCTCTGGCACAGCCGTGGGCACAGGCACCTCCCGACACCGACAACAGCGGGAAGGAGACTAACGGCTCATCATCATCTCTGAACAGATAATCCAGCGAATCTGACAGCTTTGGGCTGCCCTTTCAGAAATCACAAGAGAAAATGCGCATTGGGATGATAACGGGTTTGAGGGGGTGGATGAGAGACTGGGCGCTTGGAAGGAAAAGCTCCCTGCCACCCACGCCAGCGCTCATCTTTTCAGCAACTTGAGCACGGCCAAAATGCTACTGATTCCTTGTCTTCCCCACCACACACACGGGGCGGGGGGGTTAAGGTTCGGGGTCTTCCACTGGTGGGCTAAGGCCCACGGAGAGGTCATGCCCGGCCTCTCAGGGTCACACCAGCCTGCTCCTGAGGCTGCCGGGGGGTCTTTTCCAAAAGCAAGGGCAGCGCAGCTCATCTTTAAGCCCTGGCAGCCATTCTCCAACCGAGTACCCTCGCAGGATGCTGAAGGCCTGGCCATGCTGGCCGGGGATGATGGGAGCTGAGGGCGTCTTGGGGGCAGCAGGCTGGAGAAAGCAGGGCTGGGGTGCTTCGCTGCCCCCTTTTAATTTTCACTCCTGTTTTTATACCACCCAGTATCCAAAGCTCTCTGGAAAGTTTAAAATGGCATAAAAATGTGATTTTAAAACAAATTATATTACACGTGCAAACACAAGCGCATCTTTACAGGCAAAAATAGTCCCAAACAACCAACAAATCCCAGAACTCATTAAAAAAAAACCACCCCCTTATTGTGTGTTCAGGTTCAAGTAAAGGGAGTGCTTAAGAGGTTCAGGTTGGCACCAGCCGGTCCTTTGGAGGGGGGGCTGCTGCCTGTGGGGGATCACCACTGAGAACAGCAGCTGCCAGCCAACACAGGGCATTATCTCCCAGTTTACCGGGGTTTTTCCCCACACTGCCCCCCCCCCAGGCTCTCGATCCTGCTGCATCGCCCCCCCAGATGGCCGCTTATGCAGGGGGACCAGGGGGGGTTCTGCTCCAGCCCCTCTGCTGCAGTTTGCGGCAGGGGCGGATCCACTCCGACAGGGAAGTGCCGAGCCCATCTGCCGCCTCCACGCAGACACACGGCCCAGAACGTGCCACCTCGCCCGCTGCCTTCGCGCATGGCGACAGGGGCTCCCTCCGTGGCGGCTCGTCACCAGGAGCGCCAGGCAGGCAGAGTGCAGCTGTTCCGATTCAGGAGCAGACAGGGCTGCCGATAAGGCAAGGCAGAGATCTCTATCCTGTCTCTATCCCCTCCTGCGTTCACCCCGCCCTCCTCAAGGACTGTTATTGTCTCTGGGACAAGCGAGACACGGGGGGGGGAGGGGGGGGATCGGCGCCGGCTGGCTGCAATCTCTGCAGGCAGCAGGGCACAGTGCTTTCTGCGAAGGTTACCAGAAATTCGCTTTTGCAAAGCCCGGCTCTGCGGGAGACTCAGGGGAGGGGCGTTCGAAAAGGCAGTTAGCCCTGCAACCCTCTTCCCCATCTTAAGTACTCTGCTGGAGCAGTCGAAAGAGCCCATCCGGGAGCGGGGCTGGGGTGGGAGTGCTCGGCTGGGGGCCTGGGAGAGGCGCGTTCCAGTCTCCACTGGGCAACTTTGGGCCACTCCCTCACTCGGCCTGGCCCACCTCACAGGGTTGTTGTTGTGAGGATAAAAGTGGCGTGGGGGAGATCTGGGTTCCTCGCCAGAGGGAAAAAGGCTGCATATAGATGCAACGTTGCCCGCATCATCACATAGCAAGACGGGGAATTTTATTTCTTTGGGGTATTTCTACTCTTGCCAACAACACAGGTTTCTTTGAGACGTTTACAGGAGACTGCTTAGAGAAAGTGGTTCTGGGACACCAGATACGCAGGGGATGGACGCAACTGCATCTGATGCACGGGTATACACGGCTTCTGAACATGCACAGAGTAACATCTGGGTGGAAAATGAATCCTTGGGAGATTCAGGACAGGACACGGGGAAGCGTTCACACAGCACTGAGCTAAACAACGGAGTTCACTTCCCGCAAGGTGCAAGGGTGGCTTTCAGAAGGGGCCGGACACATTCCTGGGGGGGGGGGGGGGGCCCCTGGTTTGGGGGGGGGGGGGGGGGGGTTAAGCACGATTTGACCATTGTGCTGGGCGAAAGCGTGCGATTCGGGAGCCGAAGCGGCCTCAGACTGGTCCGACGCAGCCCTCTTTCCGATTTGGAGATGCCTTTTCTTCCTTCTGAGAAGTCACGTGGGGCACAGCAATGGCAGCAATGGGGCTGGCAAAGCCGGGCGAGGAGGTGCGGGGCTGTCAGGGAAAGCTGCGTGGGGTGTGCTTGTCAAGCGCCGCAGAGACACCTGCCATGTCCCCCAGGCTGGCTTCTAGCTTTGCCTGCCGCTGCCCCAGTGAGCTGGAAAGGACAAACACGCCGTGCCGGGGAATTCACGGCCTCCCCTAGCAAGGAGCTAATCCGTCAAGGGCTGACAGCTCCATCAGTCTCGTGGGGAGAGGGGAAAGTGACGGGCAGGAGAGGGAACGCACTTGAGGGGAACGCAGAACGGCAGACGAAGAGCCAGGCGAGAGGCCTGCCCGGCGAGTGATGGCTCACAGACACAGCTGGAGGAGGCGCTTGCTCGCTCGCTCGCTCATCGCCCCCCAACAAGCCAAGCACGACGGCACCTGTTCACCCGCTGCTGCGGGGAGAGGCAGGGCTGCAAGAGACCATGCGCTGGAGGGGGACAAAGCGATCAGAGCCCTGCTGGGCCAGGCCGGATGAGAAGGCCTGCCCAGTCCAGCGCCCGTTCCCCTTCCCAGAACGGCCTTTGGGAGGGTGCTTAAGGACCCGCCATCCACCAAGCTGGGCTGCCGGACCGTACGGCCTGGAGAGCTTCAGCCGTGCAGCAGTGCAAAATGGAATAAACAGCAGTAACCAGACGGGCAGGCCCAGTCTTCTGGGATTCGGGGCGGGGGGGGGGGATGCTTTCCCAGTCCTGCCTGCAGGTGCCGGGGACTGAGCACTGAGTGATCCGGATGCCAGCAGCAGCCCCAAAGTGCCCCCCGCGGGGAAGGCCACAAGCCACTGAGGTGCAGCTGTGATGTTGCTGGGCTGGAGGCTGGGAGCCCCATGAAGCCCCCCGTGGCCCCTGGGCCAGTCCCTGAGCCCCACACAAGATAGGATGGGCCAGAGGAGGAGGATGCAAGCTGTCCCGGGCTCTTTGGGGAGGGAAAAGCGGGAGGCAAAGACAATGCTTGCTCCGAAATCAATCTTGGCAAGCACCGTGCGACTGCGACGGCCGCTCCCTCCACTACTCAGGTGCTCTCTGGGCCTAGGGGTCTCCCCGAGAAGCCTCTCCCCTTCTGGGTGCCTCTGCCTTGCACCCGGCCTCTTCCTCCGGACATGTCTGGCTACAATGGCAGGCATGGCCACTGGTCGTGTTGCATGGGGATGCTGGGAGCGGTAGTGGGAGATGAACTGGCTTCCTCCTTGGCTGAATGCAGAGCGTGAGGCTTCCCCTCCCCTCCCCTCCCCTCCCGCGCTGCAGGAACCGGGGGGCCAGGCCAGAGAAGGCCCCGACTGAGCTGTGCCTTGGCCTGGAGGGATGACTGCCGGCACATCAGCACCCTCCAAGTGGGCGAGGGTGTGGGGCAGGCGGAGGAGAGGGACTCAGGCTGCGCTCGGGCAGCGGGGCAGCACGAGGGACTCCGTGCGTTATCTCCAAGGCAATGTGGGAGCGCCCCCAGAGCACGGGCAGGGGCTGGCGAGGAGGGAATGGACGTGAGTGACAGCCATGGATGCTGGGTGGGGAAGAGCGCCCCGGCTGCCTCGGCGCCCATCAGCAGGAGGGCCCTCACACTCGCCCACTCGCCAACCCCTTCCCGGCAGGATGCGCGGCCAAGCCCGCTTTAAGCTTGGCCGCACAGGGAGGGACCAGCCCCCTCCCACTCGTCGGGGGGCTGAGAGCTTCACCGGCCGCCCCTCCCCACCCCCTGCCCGTGTGCCTGGGGTCCTCCGCCGGTACCTTCTGGGGCAGCCCGAGGCAGATGGTCAGCCCGTCGCTGGCCGGGTTCTCGATGCTCTCCACGCTGTGCAGGTGCCGGCTGAACTTCGGCAGGGGCACCTTGGGTTTGCTCTCCGGGATCAGCATGTTGGCCGGAGCCATGGTGATGAGGACGTTGGTGATCGGGCCTAAAGGGACCAAAGGAGGGTTTCAGGCCTCGCGGCTTGGCAAGGCCCTCTGCTGAGCGGGTGGAAACAGTCCTGCTTGGGGAGGGGAAGCTGGCGCAGGCGCTCTCTCCACGAAGCCCAGGATTCTGGCTGTTTCAGCTGGCAGCCACGCTTTGGGGTGAGGAAGGGGACCCCAAGTGACACTGAAGTCCCTGCCCAGCCCACAGTCTGGCCAGTGCCCGGGCATCCAGGACTTGACTGTGGGCTGCAGGAGTTCAGGCTGCCCCCTTCAATTTTCCCCAGAGCGCCCCACTATCCCCGGTTTCTCGGCTACGTGATCTCCCAGCTTCGGCACCATTCCTTCCCAGCCTGAGGCTCACAGGCCTCTTCCGAGGCTTGCTTACGAGCAGTTAATTTTCAAGCTGCAGCACGGTGAGTTTTGGGGTATTTTAAAACTGCCCCGCTGTGCTCCAAGCCAAGTGCCCCACAGAAATACCCGGTCCATATCAGCAGAGCAGGGTGGAGGATACAGCCAGCCAAGCCTTTACCTCGGTAGATTTCATTTTTGTTGTTAATTCACTGCATTCTTCCTGAGTGCAAAGGACCGAAGGCTGCTTCCTCTCCACTTTGCTCTCACAACAACCCTGTGAGGGAGGCAAGGCTGGCCCAAGGTTCTCCGGTGAGATCAGTGGCTGGCCGGGAACTGGCAGGGTTCCCCCTCAGCCACTGAGACCACCAGCTGGGCCTTGGCAGGGGTCCTGCCGAGTCCCAGCTGGTGGCTTTCTCACCCACCCCCCGATGCTCTCCTGTCTGCAGGCAAGCAGCCCCGTCAAACCCCAAAGCGAGGTCCCCAAGGACTTCCCGCCAGCACTCAGCTGCTCATGATCTTCCTGGGGCAGTGCCACACCTCGGCCTGGCTTTCTTCTGCCATGCAAACCCATCCATCACTGGGGCTTCGGCCCACACAACTGTCATTGGCAATGATCTATCGCGTGCAGACGCTTGGTGAAGTTAATGAGCGCTTTAATTACTGCATTCACCCGCACAGGCTGCCGGGGGCTGTCAGCTTCACCTCCAACCTCTGCTCGGTTCCAAGAACACGGGTTTGCTACCTGGTATTCATCAGCCGTGTGGGCAAGTTGCAGGTTAAGAACCAGAAATGGGTCCTGGCAGCCTTCCCACCTGATCCCCTCCTCCATGGGTGCTTAGCCGGCTAGTGGATTCTGGGACTTGCAGTACGGAACCTCCAGAAGATACCAGGTGTGGTCTGGGGTGGACAGATCCACAGGATGATCGGTATGGTTTGCCACTTGTCTGCAGCTTCAGGAGGGGCTGCATGTAGGTGAATATGAACCCACTGGGCTAGAAGGACCCACGATATGACTTTCCACCCTGTGGAGCACATCCCTTCCCTGCCAGCCCAGCCAGAGTAGAGGCCTTCCCTTCTCCTCTGCATCGCAACACAACCCACCACCCGTGGCTGTCCCTCCCCCGCAGCTGCCAAGGCTGCGATCCGCTCTTTGACTGCTCCCGTTCTGTCTCGAGCTACCTCTTGCGACCCCATGCCTTTCCTCCGCGAATCCCAGGGCTCTGCTCTTGGCGTGTGCGTGCAAAAAGAGGCACGGCTTCCTGCAGAACCCAGAGTTGCCCCTGGCAGGGGTTCCTTGCCAAGCTAGCACGGATCCAGAAGGTGCCAGAACGAGTCCCGTTTCCAGCAGCTGCAGCCCAAATGCTCTGGGTCCAGAGGAACCCAACAGCCAAGGCAAGGAGCACTGCCTCCCCAGGGCCCAGCCTATGGGGCACAAATCCACCACTCTGAGTTCAGCACTTCCTGCCAGGGATGAGGTGGGCTGTGTCTGCAAGAGCTTAGACCAGGGCACATGTGCTGGTCTCTCAGACCGGATGCTGAAAACGGCTGCGTGAGTGGTCTCAAACTGGGACCTCATGCCCAACAAGCACATGCTCAGCCTCTGCACCATGGCCCCATCCCGAAGAATGCACTCAGCGACTGGTTCAGACAACACGCTCCACACACAAGTTTTGCTGAAGCCTGGGTTGTTGTTAAAACGTAGGTTATCGTATGGTCCGAACCCAGCTGCTTGCTAAACACCACCAAGCCACAATGAACTCATCATGCGCCACCCTCTGGATGCACTCCACACACCGAACTATGGTCAACAACCCAGTTCACCACCCAACAAGAAACCACATGTTCTCTTCGTGCGGTCAGTGCAGCAACTCACACAGAGAGGCAGCGGGCAGACTCTCTCTCACACACGGGCAGCCTGTTTCGCATTCCTAGGAGCCTCCTCACAACTTGGGGCCCTTTGGATTTGCCAGCTTGCAAATTCCAGTGTCCTCAGGGACCGTGACTGTGAAAATCTGCCCAAGCGTTGCCTCTGCGCTGACAGGGACTCAACACCGGCTGCTACTTATTAAGGAAAAGAAAGATGGGACCTTTTAGGAGTCTGAGAGGAGCGCCGGCCACGGCACCTTATTTAATTACGTGACTTCAAGCTTGTTATTAAGGTTGTCTGGCTGCTTGCGTTCTGCAGAAGATTTACTAGTTCCTGCCCTGCAAAGCTGAGCCTCAAAATGCTGGACGGAGATGGTGGCACTTCCAGCACTGGCATGTGAGGAGGGTGGGGGGACTCCGAAAAGGAGAAGGAGACATCCTTTCTGCAGTGGCAGCTTCTTATCTGGTGTTCTGCCTGGCAGAGATAAAGGATGTTAATGCTTCCCTGGGGCATTGACAATAGCAAACATTCCACAGTATTCAAAAGCAGAGATGGGATTTTTTTTTTTTTTTTAAAGTGAGAGGAAGGGATGCAATTAGACATTTGGAGGGTCTGGGGGGAGGACAACAGGATTATAAAATCAGAAAGGAAGCTTGCTTTCCTTTGCCCTGTTGAAGTAAACCAGGAGTGGGATGTTGGGGTGGGGGGGGAGGCAGTCAGATTTCTGTCCCAGCACCTTTGGAGCTTCCAATTCAGGGTAAAAGCCGAGACACGCCAGGTCTTGCTGGACTGGTGAGGCCCTTAAGGGAACCATGCCTTCCTCTCAGGGTCTCCAAACTCATCTATATTCTACTGCTCTGGTGGGCTGGGAGGACCTACAAACCAAACTGCTCCCACCGGCCCTTTTCTCATTGGGAAAGGCCACAAGAGGGGGGATGTCAAGGTGGCATCCCCAAGGAAGGAAGGAAAACAAACACTGTTGGAGACAGAGAAGATGCAGAGCCGGGCCCTGCTGACCTGGCACACATCCAGACCGGCGATGACTGGGAGATGTTCCCCGAGAGCTCCCGCCCTTCCCCAGCCCCGCTACGATCTGACCTGCAGTTCCCTGCAGAAAAACCGAGCAAGCCGTCCCCGAGCCGTCCATTTATTTATTTATTACCCCCGCCCCCCGTGCCTAAAAGTCTCTGGACGGCTTACAGGTGGATGCGCCTGCTGACCTCACAAGCTGCCTTCCCCTGTGCTGCACCACTGGCTCACCAAGCCCGTCACTGCCCGCTCTGGCCGGCAGCAGTTTCCCAGGGTCTTGGCCGAGGAAGTCTTCCCAGTGCTGGACCTCCAGGCTCCTTTTGCCAGGAGAGGCTGGGGGTCTGAACGCGGGACCTCCCGTTAGGCACGCAGGGCGAGTGACGTCACAGAGGCCCTGTGGAAGCAGGCACTGATCCGGCCACCCGGGTAGCGCCTACCTGTTGCTGAAGGAGCTCAGGCCCTCTCCCCTCACCACCTGCCTGAGATCTTTTAAAAAGGATTGGGGATGCTGAATCTCTTTCAGCCGGAGGGCTGAATTTTCTGTTGGAAGAGCTCTTGGGGGCGCATCTGCACGGCCGACAGCTAGAAGAGGCTAAAACCCTGGGAAACCTCAGAAGCCACCAAATGCACTGTGGCCACGGCAGGGGCATATTGCCAACCTTTCGGGGTGAAACAGGTGAAATATATAGATGGCAGCAATGGGAGTTAATTGCCCCCTAATCCTGCTTCTCCAAACAGCCAGCCTCTGAGGTGTGGCCTGCCCAATTCCGGTACCACACACCAGCAGGTCGCTTCTGACCCCGCTTCTCACAAACTAGCGCTGAATTCAGCTCCTTCCTATTTTCTCCGTGTTTTTCCCATATGAGCTTATGGGGGAGACGGGAGGAGGAGAAGAGCTGCTATCCAGGGCGCAACCGGAGCATCTCAGCATGATGAAACATTTATGATCGTGAGCCCCACTGCCGCATTTAAGCTCCAGCCACGCACGTTTGACGTCCCCCTTTGGCCAACCAGACGCCGAGTGCGAGTCGGGTCTTTGGCAACAGCCAACGTGGAGAGAATCTGCAAATCATGTTGCATTGGCAATGAAGCAGAAAAACTGCTGTGCTTGGATATGACGACCATTAAAGGGAAGATTATGCATGGTGCGGATTATGTGGAACACGGAGATGGAGTGTCAGATCACAGTTTTGCACGAAAGGGGACCCAACATGGTTCACTAGATGTGCGGAGATGCATGGAAATCAATAATCCACCTTCCAAACACAGTTCAGATACTGGGGTGACTTGATGGGCTTGGCCTTTCCTTGGTTTGCCCCCTAGATTAGTTTTGTAAATGTGCCTTTTGCACACAGGAATAAAGGTTCCTCTAGAGCAGGTGTGGGCAACTTTGGGGAGCTCCAGGGGCCGATCTTAATGGGTTGCACCCCAAATGCTGCAGGCAGCATCATAAAAAACAAAGCCTAAATTTGGCCGTTTCCTGCCACAGTTAGGCCACGCTTAAAGTTAAGCCACAGAAAAACCATGCACAGGGTTTTACAACCCACCTGGGCCAAAGAGGGCTGAATGGCAGCAGACAAAGGGAAGTAATTCTTCTCACAGTGCAGAGTTAAACTAGGCAACTCCAGCAGCTTCAGAAGAGGATTAGACAAATTCAGGAAGGAGTTCGTCGTGATGGCTGGAGAGGACGGGAGTTGTAGCTCCAACACATCTGGAGGAAGCCATGCTGGGAAGGGCTGTTTGTGTATAACGTCACATTGCAGCACACCAAACACATGTTGCCCAGCAGAGAACACAAATATCGACCTCCTGAGCTCCCAGCCAGTCACAGACCAACATGTTGCAGCTGCCACTAGGCACAACTGTACAGGCCACTGTGTTGTGCGAACACAGCCAAGCTCAGAAACCATCTTTGTTAATCACTACCCAGAGCGCCCAGTCCCACAAGGGCTCTCTTTGCGAGGTGCCCACGGTTGGCAAACCATGGCTTGTTCGCATGCCTGGGATTACTCTGTACAACAAGCCACGAGTCAACGGCCACCTGCCCTTCCACCACCTGTCCTCACCCCATGCTCCTGGGTGCCACGCCGTGTGAACAACCTCGGCCGGTTGTTCGCCCTCCTCCCAACTGTGCCTTGGGACACTAGCACCCACTCACTTCACACACACCTTTGTATGTCACGGTGCGCACACACTGCCTGCTCTGGATGTGCCACAGCCGGACGGTCTCGTCATGCGAGCCAGAAAGCAACAGGGTTCCGTCGGTCGAGGTGGACAAGCAGGACACCTGGTTCCTGGGGGTGGGCAGGTAGAAAGAAGCATCAGAAAGGGCCTTTGTGCAAGGGACCAAAGTCACCTGGGCAGAACTTTGGGACAGTGGCGTAAGGCTCCACTTGGCCGTTTCCCAGGCACACCAGGGCAGTTCTGCAGTAAATGAAGCAATGTATCTTCGTGTCCAGAAAGCTGTCCTGTGAGGTTATTCCGCCCAGCCGAAGTGGGTTGACCTCACCCTGGCCGCAACAGGGGGACCAAAGGCGAGGAAGGGGCTGCGATGGCGCTCGAGCCATGGAATGTGCACAGGACACCCCTGGCTGAAAGCTCGCCTCCTCCCCCAGGGGGCCACTGCCGCAGGGAAACAATCTGGGGCTACCTCGCTGGCTCCCAGCCAGCATCGCCCACGGACCTTTCCAAGATCCGTCAGACTCAGGTTTTATTTTGTTTTAGCCGAAAGGGAACAAAGCCCTGTTTTGGATCTGTGTGGCGATACAACCCCGGAGCAGAGTCCAAGAGAGATGTGCAGACAGCGCTCACTTGTGCCCTTTGAAGATCTTCCCGTTGTCCGGCTCTGGCTGGAAGCCTCTCCCAGCCTGTGAAGGGGCGAGAAGGGAGTTAAATGCTGCAGTTGGATGCACGGCTCAGCCTGGCAAACTGGCCAGCACCTGGACACAGGTGCTGCCTAGACCAGCTCTGGGACCAACTCCACTGAGAATGTGGGAGTTTAGTGTGTGTTTCAGACACTGGGGCATAATCCCTTGCCTGTTCAGGCAGCTGAGGAATCGAGGAAATTCAGGTTTTTTTCTGCTTAAACACCTGATTTAAATTCCCTTATGCTGCATGGAATTTGCACAGTTTGCTACCTGCCCTGAATTTAAGGGGAGGCCCTGCCTAAAAAGCAGGTTATGCTGTGGTTATGCTCAAGAGGGTTGCCACCCGAACCCTTGCCCCCAGGTGGAACAAGATGCTCGTTCTGCTCATTGCCACCTACCCAGGAGAAGAGCTCCACCTGGAAGATGGAGCCGTCCATGCCGCCACAGAACATGTAGTACTCAGTGAGGTCCAGCGTCACTGACATGATGCTCACTTCGAAGACGACGGAGAGCAGCAGGTTGCCAGAGGAGATTTCCCAGAGCTAGGAGCAGAGTGGAGCCAAGCGTCACATCCTGCACGGGGGCCTTGGTGGGATCCCCAGGTGCACACGAGAAGCAGAATTTTTGGTGACTCTGAGGAAGCTGGAGAGTTGACCGGCCAAGACGAGGCTCAGAGCCCGTACTCTGATAACGGAACTGTTGTTGTCATAAACAGCCTTACATCTGCAGGCACAATCCTTAGTGCCAGTACGAGCCTGCTCTGGGTGAAAGTAGCTCAAGGACACCCATAGGCCTTAGTCTCCCCCACCGCCCGCCCGCCCCCCCCGGGAAAGGAGCAGGAGGACAGGAGGGAGGTTTGGAAATGGGGAGTGGAGAAAGCCAGCCCCCTGACGACGTGGACCCGAGGGCCCATCGTCACACCGCAGGCTGGCCCAATTGGGGGCTGAGTGCAGAACACAGGCGTGCCAGGATCCAGAGCCCCTCCTTCCAGAGGCAGCCCCCAAAGGGCTCAAAAGCAGAGTAGAGGGCGACGGGAAGTACAGGGAGGGTCAGCACTGCCTTGTGTATGCTCAGAGGCTCAGGAACGCTTAGTCTTCTGCACAGAACCAGGACACTTGCAAGGAGTACTGGAGAGCCTGCCTCGCTTGGGAGGAAGTGCCTAGCTCACGACAGCCTGAACCTTCTCGCCATGTTTTCCTACTCAAGACCTGAGGGGTGCCTTCCCTTCTACGAGGGAATCACAGAAAAGGACGTCCAAGCCATGGCTGCAGAGATTCAGCGGCTGCGCAACGAGGTGGACCGCCTGACTACAGAGAATGCCATCCTCCAGGCAGCGGCATCTGTCCGTTCACGCTACCCACTTCACCTGGCTCCTGTACCTGCCGCCCAGCGAAGAAGCCCGTTTGACTTGCCTGTTATGTTCGATGGGACTCGGGAGCACTTTGCCGCTTTCCGGGCACAATGCGACCTGCACATGTGCTTACGGTCCAAGGACTTCCCCAGTGAGCAAGTACGAGTGGGATTTGTGATTGGCCTGTTGATGGGACCTGCGGCGAAATGGGCGACCGCGCTCTTGCTGGCGAACAACCCCGTTCTGAACAGCTACCATACATTCATGACCGCGATGGCGAGATTTTTCGAAGCTGAGGTGGGACAAGAAGTACTCACCCCTGAGATATGCCACCTCCGACAAGCAAAACAATCTGTGGCGACTTACACGACCCAATTCCGGCTGCTGATGCATGACCTGAACTGGAGCGAGGCTGCACTCATGGGCCAGTACCGAGAGGGACTGCGCACTGAAATCCTGGAGATCCTGGATCAACTACAAAGTCCCCGCACGCTGGAAGGTCTCATACAACTGTGCCTGCAGATTGATCTCCAACTGGCCAAGTGCAAGCTGGAACACAAGCCTGCTCCCTATTTCCTCTCTGTGACCGCGCCCGTCTTGCCCAGGGTCCCCGCTGAGCCCAACCAGCCTGGCATCTCCTCCTTCAACTTCACCCCTCTCCCTGAGATCGAACCCATGCCACAGGGAGAGGCCAAGCCTTACTGCCCGAGGCCCGAGACGAACTGCGGGAGCACTGTCGTGTATTGCTTCTTCTGCAGCCAGAAAGGGCATGTGGCTCAGGAATGCCCTTGGAAAAGATAGACGGAAAACACCAAGTCCTAGCCTTGTTCAGCTCCACGACGCTGGGACCCGTGCAGATGCACCGCAGGTCTGCTCTCAACGGAGCCCTGCATTATCTAACCACCTACTGGATGCTACTTTATATACACCTCAGCGTAGAGATCTGCATACTTCAGCTTTGATAGACAGCGTAGCCATTGCAAGCTTTATGGACATGGACTCTGCTAGCCTGCACTCCTTTCCGACCTTCTCCCTGCCCAGTGCTCTCCAAGTGGACTCCATCCAACGTCTGCCCCTGCAAAGCAGGCCCGTTTCTCCAAACCGGACTTTTAACTCTCTGCACCGGTGAAGATAAGGAACAGACTGCCTTCCTTCTAGTAAGGAATTCACAGTACCTGCTGGTACTGGGCATGGGTTAGCTGGGCAAGTGTAATCCACAGATCTCCTGGAGGGATGGGCTTCTGGTTTTCCCCTGATTTTTGTAATTGCTGTACCTGGATCCCCAGCCCCCTCCTCAGCCTAACACCACCTTCTAACACTTCCCCTAACGAAGCCTCCCTTCCTCTCACCTCCCTCCTTGAAGGTGCACCTTGCCCGCCATAATTCCTTCCTCCCCACCCTCTGCGCCCTCAGGAGCCCCCTCCGCTTGCTGTCCTTGCGGAGCGGGAGGAGGCATCTGAAGAGAAAGACATCTTGGACTCCCATCAGGGCTGCTTGCAATGTTTGATTCATCGGAGGGGATGCCCCCCTGAAGACTGCCGTTGGGAACCTGCTGAAAACCTGCCAGCCCCTGTGTTCCTCAAGCTTCCCCCACAAGACCGGCAGGAAGAGACCCTTGGCCCGGTCCGGGCGGCAAGGTGGGGGACATGGAGGGAGGTGATGTCATGCATGCTTACTCTGGTGAGACTCCCAAGCATTCATGAGAAACGGAATGTTTTTGTGAGACTAATTGCTCAGACTCTGGGAAGCTGGGGAGCTGGCAGACCCAAACAACGCTCGGAGCCTGTACTCTTGATAAGGGAATTGCTGTTGTATTAGATAGCCCCCTGCTTCTTGAGACAAGTCCCAAAGTGTTCGTAAGAACTGTGGGTAAAAGGTGGGGGGGTGCAGAGAGAGTTCAAAATCTTTTTGTGTATGCTCAGACACTCTGAATGCTTAGAATAAAGATGCTTCTTCTATGTAGAATAAAGATGTTTCCAAGAAGTGCTGGAGAGTCTGTCTTGCTTGGGAGGGAATGCCCGGCTCACAGCAGCCCCTGCTGGCAGCCATGCGAGGCCTGGCTTGAAAACGCACTGTGGGGAGAACAGCAGGCCTGCTGCTCTGCAACCGTGGGACTACAACTCCCATTATTCCTGGAGTCCAAGGGGGATGGGGATGGTAGGGGGTGCAGATGAACAAATCGCGAGTGGGCCAGGCTGAAGAAGGCTGCGCTAGCAGGATCCAGGGGTGCATTATTTAATGTTTAATGCTGCCTCACATTTTCTGATCTTTTAGCTGCCTGGGGATTTAGCAATTCATTAGACGATTCCTGCATCAAACACAACTCTTCTCTCCTCTACCGAGCTCAGGGCAGCATCCAGTGCATTCTCCCTAGCCTACCCCACCTGTTCTACCTCACAGGAGTGTTGCGCAGACAAAGGTCAGGCTGAAAGGGAGCATCAGCAACCTCAGACTGCAGCAAGGAGCTCAGTGGTTGAGGGAGGACTTGAACCTGGGCCTTCCAGGTCCTAGTCCCATGCTCTAATTCCTATACTGGATGCTGACTACTCAGTGATGAAATAACGGGATCGGGGGATGCAGGCTTTAAAACACACCACTGCCTTCCAGCTCCACTCTCTCCTCAACTGCAACAGGGAGAGAAACCTTGGCCTGCCTCGCAGGGCTGTTGCAAAGGTGGCCAACAGGCGCAGGAACAAATGCCTCAAGCGCTTGGGAAGCAGTGTGCTGCAGTGCGATCTGATCTGGTTGTCGCGGTTCTGTTCCTGCACACCCCGACTTCTCCTCCCCGCTTCCCAGCCACCCCATCCAGCCATTTCCACGCCATTACCTTCGCTGTTTGGTCCAGGGAGGCCGTGGCCACTCGCGCCTGGGCACCGCCGACGCCGCAGTAGAGGTCTGTGATGGGGAGGCTGTGCTGGGACCACACGTGACGCGGTTCGGGACCCTGGATGTGCTTGGCCTGCAGCACGCTGAGAAAGAAACAGCACCTGCCCCCATGAGTCAGGCGCAGGGAAAGGCTGCCTGCGGAGTCGGCAGGCTTGGCTGCCTGGGTTTCCAGCACCTGCACTCTCAGTCTGCCTCTCCATTAACTCAGAGAGATAATCCGTGGCCCCTCTTCAGTTTCCACTTCCGGCGCCGTGAACACCCCTCCCCGTTCTGCCACCTCTAGCTTCCTTCTTCCTGGCCTCTCTGAAGACCACCGACATGACTCTTTCCTCCCTGCCCAAACTTGGCTTGCCACTGAACCTCAGCATCCAGAAACCCCCTTCCTCCCATGCACACAACGGCCAGCATCCTCCCCGGATCAAACCGTTTCTCACACAGGGGTTTTTCTTCCTTCCTAAGTGTCCTTCAATCTGGGAGTGAAGGGCCAGCGCCAGAGTAGGGCCAGGGCTTAAAACCGTTGTTCAATAAATATATCAGACCTGAGCGCTGGGGCTGATTGGATTGGCTCACCGGCCCAGGAGCGGGCCTTAATCACATGCTGGGTGCCTTGGCACATGTGGGACCCGGATTATGTGAGAAGCTCTGAAACAGCGCGCCTCTTCGTCTCTGAGGCAAAAGGAAGTCCGCCCTGGGCTTTCGGGGTGGAGGCACCATCGTTCGTCAGAGCTGCCTGGAGGAGGTCAGCCTGGGGAGATCTCATCTTTGCAAAGAGCGAGTCAGACAGGCCCTTCCCCGAAAAGAAAGGCAATCTTACTGCCAGCACCCCTGCTTGGGCTTTGTTAGGATAAAGCAAAGGGATGGGGATGGTGACCCTACAGCTGCCTGGAATAGGGAAAAGTGGCAGCACACAGGTGAATATATTTCCATGGAAAACTTGCAACTTTTCACGCTGCCCATTCGGTTAACACAAAATAAGGTGCTCAGCACTGCTGAGACAATTGGTCAGTGTCTCTTTCAGCGACTGACTCTTCCCTTTGGGGCATCTGGGACACAAAAGCAGCAGCTGGCACAGTGGCGAGGCGTTCCTTGCGTCTGCTGGGAAGGTGACCCTGAGAAGAACACCCCTTTCCATACACGGACAGGTGGCCCGTTGTGAGGCCAGGATGTCCCAAGTCCACTCACTTTGCTGCCCCAGAGGACATTCACTGCGTGACCCCGCTGATGGATGCAACGGTGCTGACCCAAGGGCAAGGGGTGTGGGTGTGTGTGTGTGGGTGTGGAGTGGGGGGGTTGAAGTCTCCGATTCCTACCTGAACAGGTTCCACACTATAACGAGGCTGTCCTTGGCCCCAGACAGGAAGTGGCTGGTGTCGTTTGTGAAGGCCAGGCACGAAAGATCCTGGTAGTGTTGATTCAGGATAGCAAGCAGATTCCCAGTCGATACCTGTGGCCAGCCATTTGGGGTTGGGATTGGGAAGAGAGAAAGGAAGGGGGAGATGAGAAGAAAATTCAGGACTCAAGATGCTCTGGGCATTCTGCTACCACTGGACGCTGCGGAATCAAGAGTGGGCCCTAACAAAGGCTCAAAGAGAACAAATCCGAACTCCAAAAACTAATATGGGCAGAGTCCACAGGCCACTGGGCAATGCTATTATTGCCCGGACTAGCCAAAGTGGTACAAAGAGACAGAAATGACAGGCAGCAGTGGGAAGGAAACCTGAGACAGCACCTCGACATGGCCAGGTATGAGGAGGAAGCCAGGTCGCTGAGGAAGGAAGGTGGTTCAAGGACGGTTACATGTTCAGAGCTGCTGGTAAGCAGCTGCGGGAGTGGGTACTGCTTCCAGGAGGGGGAGATGGTGCCAAGAGCCCAGGGGAGCCCTGCCGGGTTTCAGGCCGCCCTCGTCCGGCGTTGTGTTTGCAGTGTCCAACCAGCTGCCCTGATGGGAAGCCCGCAAACGGGATGTGGGGGCAGCTGCTCCCACCTGCTCAGGTTCCCCTCAGGTGTGGTCTTTCCTGAGTCCAGGAACTCCTGGGAACCCATTCCCTTTGTGAACTGGTCTGATTGCCTTTCAGAGCTGTTCAAATCGGTGGCCCATCCTGCCATCTGGTGGCAGCAAATTCCACAGCCCTGTGAGAAATCGTTCCTGCTGCCTGGCTTGAATCTCCCACCATGCAATGACCCCCCGTGGACATTGATATAATGGGAGAAGGGTGCAAAAAATTTTGTCTGCTTTCTCTGCACCATGCACAAGTTTATGCGCCAGTGTGGTGTCGTGGTTAAGAGCATGGGACTGGGACTCAGATAACCTGGGTTCGAGTCCCCGCTCGGCCATGGAACCCACTGGGTGGCTTTGGGCCAGGCACAGACGCTCAGCCCAGCCTACCTCACAGGGTTGTTGTTGTGGGGAGAAGATGGAGGAGCGGAATGATGCAAGCTGCCTTGGGCCCTTTGTAGGAAAAAGGCAGGATACAAATCGATAGATAGATAGATAGATAGATAGACAGATAGATGGATGGATGGATGGATAGATAGATAAATGTGGGCTCTTCTCCCACTGGGTTTCATGCAGTGATGCCTCTGTCCTTCTTGACACTGGGTATTTCTGCACTGGGGTCCCACAAGTTCGTACCTTACCTCCTTCCACCGCTCTTTAAGGTCATGTGAAAGGAGGTGGATTTGGAGAAAGGTGTCAAGTCTTTTATTAATGGCAGCAGCAACAGACTATTTGGCTTCTCCTGTAAATAAGACAGCTGGGCCATATGGCATTTTGCAATTATTCCGCACGGCTCTCCAGGGTTCCTGTTTAAGGGATGAGGCCTGCACTAACATCAGAGCTACGCTCCTACCACCTATTCCAGAGTCTCCTGCACCATGGAAGGGAAGAAGGCTCCGCGGAAGGAAAATGAGAGCGGAGAAGCGGCTCTAAGCCACCACGGTCTTGCATGACCAATGCCGAGCTTTTCAGCTGAAGAGCAGGCTCAGAATGTGCTAACGAAACGAACGGGTTGCTGACGGTGTACTTAGCAGCTCAGACGCTGCTGGTTTGGGCTGCACAGGGTGTCATGGCAAACCGTGGAGCGGCAGGACGTCCCGTGGGAATCTGGAGGCCGGTTCCCACCCTGGTAGCACGATCAACAGGTCACGTTCCCCCAGCAGTACCAGCGAGGACACTTAGGGAAAACCAGCCACCTAACCAGCTGACGTGTGGGTGGTCAGCAAGGTATGGCAGCTTCTTAACCATGCCACTACGGTGCGAACGGGGTCTGTGCGCATTTTGCTCCCCAAAGACAGCAGGGACTTGGAAGCTCACATTCATCTCCCGTCATTCCGGCTGCCTGTGCCAAGGCGGGAGGGACACGGAGCTGTCTCACCAGCCCTGCTGAAAGACGGTTCTGTTTCTCCCCTCCACCCCTTCTTCCTTGCATGTCTGTCTTTCCAGACTGGAAGCCCGAGGGACAGGGACGGCTGGGCTTTACCGATCATACACAATCTGCTCTGGAGGCCTTTTTGGATGGCAGAAATCCTTTGCCTTGACAAAACAAACTTGCCGGTGTGGGCAAGAAAGGGTCTGCATTCATGGTAACTAATGTGGGAAGGAACAGCTGTCGCTGCCTTCACGACAGGCGTCCACATACCTCCCCTTTTCATAAGGAAACTCCAAGATGGATCTTGAATTACTTTAAAGCCATGCCCCTGGAATGTCTGCAAGCAAAAACACGGCTAGCTGTCCTGGGAGATGAATGAGCGTGCAGCTTCTCAGCTGAAGCGCACGCTCCCCTCATTAACCCGGGCGAGAAGGCTGCAGGAAGGCATGGCGGGATGAAGAACAAAAAGAACCAGAAGAAAACAATCGCATCAGCAGTTCCAGGGGGCTTGGCTTTTGCATAATTCATCCTTTCCCATCCCATCCCACCTCAGCGCGCAGGAGAAAGCACGTGTATGGGGAGCATGCACTTTGCATAGCCTTCTACCAGATCTTTTCACTGGCAAGATCAGGGATTTGGCCGAGAAGCCCATGAGAATGTCTACGAGCCAGCAAAATATAGCAAAAGCGCCTCTGAAAACAGACATTGCTTTCCCACCACCCGGGAAATGCAGTCTTTTCTCTCTGACAGACACACATGGAAGCCCTGCAGGAAAGAAAAGGGCTTTCAGGGTCTCCACTATTCCCTGGTTTGCTCTTGTGAAATTAAGCAGTGTTCCTGACTCCCCTGCAAGCCTATTGCATGCAGTCTAGAGTGCCCTCGCACCAACATCACCCCAAAGGCCCATTTTTCTTAACTCAAATGCATCAACTCTTGGTGCCTTAGCAGAAAGTGAACCAAACAGGAACCGCAGGGCAATGGTGCTACTAAAAAAGAGCGAGCGAGAGAGCACGACCTTCTGCCACAGGAATGCAAGTGTCGCATTCGGGTCACACGCAGAGACAATTCAGCTCTACAGATCTGCAGAACGGTGCCAGCCCCGGGCTCTGCGTTCAAGCAGGACCCTTAGAAACTGCAGCATCTTGGTCCGCCTGGCGCCGTCATTATATGTTTCTCGGCGCCAGGTCAAGACCTTTTCATTTAATCAGTATTTTAATATGTTTTAATATTGAATTTTATTGTTGTATTTTATTAACTTGCAGCCAGAGCGGGTTGTCAATTTATCTATGTTGTAAGCCGTCCAGAGACGCAAGTAATTGGACGCAAGTAATTGGACGACATTCAAATTTTATGAATGAATGTTGGGAGAAGAGCAGCTGGGATGGAAACCAAGTCCTGGAAAGAATGCTAGGAAGACAGTGACAGTGACTGAGCATGTTTACCCTAAAGCAGGGGCCTTCAAACTTTTTAAACAGTGGGCCAGTTCACTGTCCCTCAGACTGTTGAGGGGCCAGATTATAGTTTGAAAAAAATATGAACAAATTCCTGTGCACACAGCACATATCTTATTTGCAGTGCAAAAAAGGGAAAAAAACCAATACAATATTTAAAATGAAGAATGGTTTGAAGCAACATAAACTTATTAGTATTTCAATGGGAAGCAGGGATCTGCTTTTGGCTAATGAGATGGTGACACCCCAGAAACGTGTCCGCAGCAACACAATGGGTATAAACCCTGATACAATTAGGACCATTTCTGCAGAGAACAATCTTAAGCTCATCATGAGCACAGAGCTCATTTACATATGTGGTAGTTGATCCACAGGGGACCGCTTTTTGGAAAGCAATGGACAGGCGGTGATGAAGCGAGCTGTCGCCTCCACACCACCTGTTTTAACCGCCACCTCCAATGGCAAGCAAATGACACTAATAAATCTGCACTCACATCAGTGCACACCCAAAGAAATACATGACGTGTGGCATCCTGCATCAAAATTTGCATTACAATTTATTTTTCATGAGCAAAAATGAGGAGATGGAGGGGAGCAACTTCTGAATCTGCTAAAAATTATGATTTTTTAATTAAAATATATATATAAAACAGCTTTTAAAAAAGAGAAACGCACTGAATATCCACTGGGTCCTGCAACTCAAGTCCATCTCTACAAATTACGTCTCTGCATATAGTTTGTAAAGATGGGCTAGGGTTTCAGGACCTAGTGAATATTCAGTGAGTTTCTTTCTTTTTTAAAACCTGTGTTATACTTTTTCTAAATGTTTGCTCCGCTTGGTGGGGATGCAGCAGAAGCCCAAGATGATGCTGTGCCGCCTGCCGAAAGGGAGAGCACGACATGAGGGGGGGCCCTGAGGGCGCACCCACCCCGGCTGAGGCCTTCCAGGCCCCTTGCTGATGCTCACCCAGCTCCAGCAGCGGGAGGCTGGAGAGGCAGGCGGGGGGGCTGCCCTGGCTGGGAGAGTGCTGCCAGGAAGGAAGGGCTGCTTTCCGGGGCAGAGGTGAGGGGAGGCGAGGGATGGGGCCATGGCCGGCCGAGTGGGGCGTCTCCTGGCCCTCCCTGCCGTGGGGGGAAGAAGCACGGCGGCTGCTTGGCAGCAGTAGCTTGCCCTCAGAAGGTTGCAGTGGAGGCTGGGGAGCTGCTGCCCCACTCCCACTTTGCCTTGGCCCGTCTGCCCCCAGGCTCGGCGAGGTGTCCGTGGCTTGGCCCGCATCCCAGGGACGTGGCTCATACTTTTATGGTTTAAAAAAACCCCCCAGATTAACCTTATTCCGTTTAACAATACGGGGAATTATGATTACATTTTTCTTACTTTCTATCTTTTTTTAGTGTCTTCATCTCTCTCTCTCTTCCCACCACCCTCCTCTCTTCTGTATTCCCACTCCGTATTCCCGCTCTGTATTCAGAGCCAACGCATGCTTGCAGTAGGGGGGAAGAGCTGGCGCGTGCGCAATTCACGCTAGCAAGACCAGCACAGCGGCAGGAGTTAGTCAGAGGTAGCAGAGAGCGCCGGCGCATGTGCAGTTGAACGGAGGTGCCACAATCTTGTGCGTGCACCGGCT